ATTTTCCAAGTGCTGGCTTGTACCTGCAATGATAGAAGGGGTACAAAAAAAATACAAATCACAGTGTCTTTCTTTAACATTTCTTTATTAACAAATCTAATGCAATTAAGTAAGTACAATACATAGAAACTTCACGCCGCCATTTTGAAATAAGTTTTATGACCTTGTGGGATCGGTGAGTGTGGGTTATAATTGATGCAAAGACACTTGGTTTGAATATCACGATGTAAGTTTATTACGAAGTTGTGGTAATGCGTTTATTAATAAGTACCAGCTACCTCAAATGAACTCGAAGAACTGACTGACGGAACACCTCTCGAGGGTGTCCCTTTATATCTGAAATTTTTCTACCATCTGGTCTTTGTGTTTATACGTTGCTTCAATGTGAATAGGGCGAGACGTCATTCAGACTGGTCGGCAATTAATACCACTGAATAGGAATACCAATAAATGTCAAAGAGCCTTGAGTTGAGCAATTCATTTGAACTACAAGGGGTTACTCTGTTTTCGTTCAGACTAAAATAAATGTAGACTAAACATTAGGGTGTCCGTTATTTCCCATTGATTATTTTTGACTTGCCGCCATCTGAAGTTTTAGTTTTTCAAAGAAATAAATTATCGAGCGTAAATTAACTCTTAATTCTTAATTTAAACCGTGCCGGATTCATGATACTTTTCCATTTTAAATAACATGGGATTTTCCTGACGTTTTTACATTTAATTTTTTATCTCAAAGTAAATAAACCTACAGCTACGACAAAGACATATTCTAATGCAAAATTTTACCCTCTACAAAAGATCTCTTTGTTTTTCCATAAAAACATTCCTGTAAAGTTATTTGCGGTCAAAGTATACATCGACGCGTTGTCGATACGCGACTATGTAACTTAAACTCTAGTTTCGATCAATTGACCATAGGTGGCGCAGTTAGAATTTGCTGTGAATGAGTTATAAACTATGTGAATATTAATTTTGATTGCAAATGCTTTTAAAAGATGTTGTATGGAAAAACCAAAGAAGATCTTTTATGAAAGTATACATCCAGAAAATCTGTCATGTCAGCTGTAGGTTACTGGAGGGCATTAAATACCATGTTATTTAAATAAGGAAAAATATCATGTTCCAGCTTATTTCATCAAGTAAAACTAATTTACGTTGGATCATTATTTTAGAGCTAAAACTAAAACTTCAGAGGGCGGCAACAAAAAAAATATCAATGTGGGAAATAACGGACACCTTACTAAACATTCTTGCCGGACCGAGCGTACCAACACAAAGCCCAGACAAATGTACCCCACAACCTGCATAATCGCGCACAAACACACTAGTGTCAAATTATAAACACTAACCTACGAGTATAACATTAGGAAATAGCAATTAGGTTGAGGAAAATTAGTATACAGGGTGTTACAAATTTAAAAAACAATAAATCGAAAAGAAAAGTGAAGCGAAAGAAAAGTACATAGGGTGATACACGAAGAAAATCACTACATTTAATAAGAAAATTAAAAAATTACGATTTAAAATTTAAGACTAAAATATAATTGAGATGTAATAATGTTTACAAACTTACTAGTGCATCCGGTAGTCACAGAAAGTTCTGAAACAGAAAAAGCACGTGTGTTCGTATTGGGCTGCACCTTTATCAAGTACTAGCTTTATCCCGCGGCTTCGCTCGCGTTGAATCCATCAAATAAATATTAGAAATCAATGAAGTTGCTTCCGTACGCGTCTGTAGACACAGAAGAAGTAACAATGAAGTAGAATGGCGGGAAGTTTAAAATGGCTGAAAGTATAATCTATGGAAGTATAGTGTACAGTCTCCATACAATTGGATTTGATGTTGACGTAGCTGTCGGTAATACAGTGTGATAATACAGTGTGATGGTACTATAGTACTTAGGTTTGAGCTACATTAAAGTATTCGCCAGATTGCGAGGTATTATTGACTAAACAATTTCTTTATTTTATTTAAAATATAATTTTTTTTTTAAATAAAAAGTAGCCTATAACCTTTCGGGGACCACTAAGAATATGTGTACAAATTTTCATGATGATCTGTTAAGTAGTTTTTGCGTGAAAGCACGATAAACTTCAGGACATTCGCATTTATAATATTAGTAAGGATTAGTAGGGATGAATCCAACGTTATCCGTTGGATAACGTACTAGCATGACACACGCTATTTTGGCCGACATTATTCCCATAAAATCCAGTGGAGAACTGACATTAATTACACTTACTCGAAATTATCAATGGGATACATATTTCTTATTCCAATTCTTAGCATCGAAATAATCCAACAGCCCAAGCACGAGTTTTATTATGATCATTTCATGCGTAACTTATCAATCCAAATCACTGTAAACGTCAATTGTTATTAACTGCCGATATTTATGCTGATTATTAAGGATAAAGCATAGTGCAATTAAAATAATTGGAATGAATGATAGAAAGGTGTCGCGCCGCGTGCAAATATAAACAGACTGAAACGTTCGAACGTTCGTAGCACGAGCGCAGCATGGAACTGAACCAGTTATGAAAACGATACTTTATTAAAACCAGTGCAAGTCAATGCAAGTATTCATTAAACCTGATCTGGATAGCTATTTAATAAAGTATCGTTTTCATAATGATATTGTGAGGGTATAGCGTACAGTAAGTGTTTACTTTACACCTTCACGTAAAACTATTGTTTTTTAATTTTAAATATTAGAAAATTGTCAAATTTGCAAAGTGATTAAATAGCACTTAGCGCATGATTTCTGGGAGCGGCGATAACGTATAATTTATAATAACTCTCGCGCTATCAAAATCTGAAAAAAAAAACATCCAAATACCCTGAAGGGTTCCCGAGATATCACCCGATTTCCACGACAAATCGATAATTGATAATTGGGTTTTTGAATTATTTTTTTTTATTATTTTAATGGAAAGATCATATATAAGTTTTATAACAAAACAATTTTTTTCGCAATAATTAAACAGTTATATCAAAATCAAAATTAATTTTTGAATCCAGTACCGAAGACGCGCCGACAACTCCCGAACAAATCCAAGCGCGTGTGACGTCATAATGTTAGTTTTCACTGTTCACCACTTAACAAACGAACGTACGAAAGCTCCAAGACGCTTCGTACGGCGAAGTTATGGATCGGCCTTAAGTGGTATTCTGTGCGCTCATCTGTAACTTTACCTAAAGTCAACCCCGCTGCACGATAGAATTTGACAGAAAGCGCGCGAGTTTCAAATCTATGGGTTCTTCAATTATCCAAATATGCAACAAATATGTGTTAATACTTATTATTTCTATTCCGGTTCTATACTGATGTGAAGCCAGCGTGCGCTCTGAAGATGGCGCCGGGTTCAAAGCTGAGAGCAGAAGGACTGATGTGTTTATTTTACGCTGGTTGTAAGGCAGCGGAGAGTCTTAGAGGTGCTCGGAGAAGTGAGGCGATCTTCACTCGATGCTTGCTCGGTAACTACCAGTGGCGGATTATGCTTCAGTGGGGCCCTAGGCGCAAATCAAGTTTGGGGCCCCTAAATCCGAAAATTTTCAAAAACGGTTTTTAGCCCAGTAAAATTAATAGTTTTAGCGTACGGGCGCTGCAAAGTCTACTTCAACATTCGTTTGTGCCAAAAACTCATTTCCACATCACCATGAGGTAGAGTACGTGGCGCGTTTTTTTTATCGTGGTACCCCCAGCAGGCCTAATCCACACGCACTATTCCAAAATTTAATGGATTATCTTCCGATTCGCTCTTCGCACCTGGTTGTGCGTTAATTGTTTTTAAGACCGATCGAAATATTTCAAGTGACTGCCATACTATCCGCGATGGGATTATCGTTTTCAATGCTATCTTGGTTCTCGAGTTCATCGTACGTGTGCTCAAAAACGGTAATCGTATTTAAATACAAATTACAAATTTACTTTTTCTTGCCTTCTCTTGGGCAAAGATTTAATAATTTTGTCATTACTCTAGTTTTTCAAATATCATTTTTCTATGAACACATTAATGCAGAAGTCATTTAAGTGCTCTTGTAAAAGACTATTGCGCAGATTGTTTTTGGCTCGTTTTAAAACTGAAAATGTCCTTTCTCCACTTGCATTAGAAACGGGCAAGGTCAAAAAAATTTGCAGTATTGTGTGTATATTTGGAAATTTGGAAATTTTAAAATCGTTAAGAACATTGATATAGACATCGCCCCTTCGAGTAATTTCTGATGTTAATACATCACATACAATAATGATGTATTGATGTAATGATATATGTTGACAATAAAAAAATTTCTTGACGAAAATGCTGTATCATTTTTGTTCGTTTCATCATATGGATATTTGCGTTTTCTTTGTCTCATCTCTTTATAAGAATGATGAGCTGTTGATTTAGCCTCCTCTTCAACAGTTCGAAATTATATATCTGACCACTGTTATAAATTCGTTTTAATAGTTTTAATAAGCTAACACTATTAAGAATATTTGTCTTTGGTTCCTGTAAGTATGTGCTGGTATTTCGATTCTCTGTAGGAGTTTGTTCCAGAAAATTTGTTAACAGTGCCGTCTCAAATTGATCAGACTCTTTTTGAACTCTGTTATTTTTAATCCAACTGCACCCCAAAAATCTAGATAAAATTGTAGGAGGGTTTGGCGTTGGTACAACACGTGTTCATAGATCTTGAAAAAATGATGAAAGACGGAAGGCAATTAATAATCCAAAAAGAGGATTTTCCGCCTTTGCAACCTTAATGGAATATTCCTCTGCAAAGTGGTTAATTATCTACGATCACTAAGTATTGCATGTGACACAATTCGGGGTGTTTTAGTGGGTCCCACTAATATAATTTGTTCTTGAAAGGGTGGCGAAAGTTCGTGGAAGCGGCCTGTCAAGGGAGTGCCCTGTTCTATTCAGGAGAATTTTTTGCACCGAATATAAAATAGAGAGAAACAAAATCTGCCACATTCCAAATTTTTTTAACAGAACGAAGTCAGTTGGGTCCGCTAGTTGCACGGCTCGATATTTCCGTAGATTGCTTCCACTACGCAATTCTTATCGAATCCCAATTTGCGGACTGAGCTAGGTGAACAGGCAAACCGATTATCTCCCAAATCGTAGCAGTTCTTGAGGTCGTCCATGCTCAGTTCATAGTACTGCTGAAGTTCATAGTTCACCGCCGTCAGGGCATTGGGTACATCATATACAGTATATGACGTATTTGTTATATGAAGCGGAGTTGCAGTTATTTTCATCATTAAATATTCTGCTTTGGCTATGATGGGAAAATAGCCAAAAATGATTACCTGTGACGTATTCTATGTCATTTCTGTTCTGACGAGTATTGAACTTTCCACTGCGCTGTCCTTTCCCAACAGTGCATTTGTTTCTTGAATTGCAGACTCCACCTCAGTTGTTAACGCCTTTATTTCACCAACAAATCCTTCTTGCTGCACCAATCTGATGACTGTCTGCATGGTTGATTCCATTTCTGCGTACTTTATTTCATCCTTGTCTCTGGTACGAAATCGTCGACAGTACGTTAGAACTCGTAACATTTTGTGTAGTGTCGAGAAACGATTGATGATTGAGGAGTTTGGTTTTACCATAAGTATATTTATCGTTGAAGGCGTAGGAATGACCTTTCGTATCATCGGTTGCGTTGGCCACGTTTCCTTCTCCTGCGTCAGCCATGTTGGTCCTTGCCACCATAGCTTGCTCTCCTTCAATTTGTTTGGTGCCACCCCTCGTGTTATTAGATCAGCAGGATTTTCGTGCGTCCTTTCATGCCTCCATGCATGAGTCGGAATATTTTGATTTACGTCAACTACCCTGTTTGCCACACAGATCTCTCTTTTCTCCGCTGGTCCGGTACTCCATGCCAAGGTGATCATCGAGTCCGACCATGCGTAGATGTTTTCGTTCGAGATGTCTAGCGAGGTCTTTAACTTCCTTAGTACCGCTGCTATTATCTTTGCTGCGCACAACTCTAGTCGAGGTAACGAGACTTGGGTTTTCACCGGCGCAACCTTTGATTTGGCTTGGAGTACATTGGTATACGTCTTACCGCCATTCGGTGATCTGCAATAGACGACAGCTCCATATGCCTTTTCTGATGCGTCACAGAATCCATGTAGTTCCATGTTCGTAGTTGTAGACACCCAACGTTGTATTTGAATACTTTCGATGTCCTGGAGTAGACGACAGAAGAGTTGCCATTTATCTGTATTTTCTTCATTTAGGTTTTCATCCCAGTGAATCTTGTCACTCCAAAGTTTTTGAATTTGTAGTTTGATTACAATGATAACGGATGACAGCCATCCGAGAGGATCGAAGATTTTAGAAATGTCTGAGAGGATGCCCCGCTTTGTTATCTTGGTGGAAAAATTCCTATTTATACGGACCATAATTGTATCCTTTTGTGGATCCCAGATGGTCCCTAACGTTTTCTTCGTTTCACTTGAGCCCACGTCGTACGTGGATTGGTCATTCAGTTCTTTGGGTAGATCTTCAATTAATCCCGAATTTTTACTAGACCATTTTCGAAGAGTGAATCCATCCTTTTTCATCACTTCGAGAAAATCCAATTGGAGTTTCTTGGGCGTCTTTAAGTCTTCTGCTCCTGAGAGCACGTCGTCGACGTAGAAGTCCTTTTTGATGATATCTATGACCATTGGATAGTCTGCTGTACAGACAATTGCATGTTTTCTCCATCGAAGCAATAGATCCGCAATGTCATTCTGGAGCTGCGGACCCACATACATGCATTCATTCAAGCTACGCTTCGACGATGTTTGGCATGATGCATCGAAGACCACTCGTAATTTGGTGGTGCTACTTTCTTCTTGTATCACCGCGTGATGAGGTATATAATACCCGTTTAATTGAGAGTCTCTCTTATTTACCTTTCTCATACGGTGCAGCTCTAGATACTCTCGCATGAACGTGTGGTAATCATCTCTTAATTTTGCATTGCACCGCAATCTCACTAGTGCACGTGATCGTGATTCTCCCAGGTTTGCTTTGAACGGCAAGCACACGGTATATCTTCCGTCCTTGCTTCTAGTTGTACTTTCTTTGTACCATACTTCGCAGTTCTCTGCTTCTGCCGTGGGTTGAATACTGCATTCTACTTCTTCGAATTCCCAGAAACGTGTTAGGTCTGGTTGGGGGCCGCTGATAGTGCATACTTGTGCTGAGATTTGTGGGGATTTATGCCAACCACCGGAGATGAGCCATCCCAGCTCTGAATTTTGTGCCATATATCCACTATGTTTTTCTAGGCCATCCAATAAAAGTTGAGCGACCTCTCCAACGCCCAATAGAATGTCGATCTTGCCGGGACGGTAGAAGTATGGATCGGCTAATGGGCGATTTTCCCACAGTTTAAACGTGTTGAAGTCTAATGGCTCCGATGGCAGGGTGTCGGTGACCTTGGACATGACGAACAATTCGCTATTGAACGCCTTTGAATTGCTGAAGCGAGGATACATTTGCACATCTACCTTAGATTTGGAAATCTTGGGCTCCCCGTCGGCTATTCCGAACACCTCTGCTCTGGCTGATTGTTTTCGAATCCCGATTTGCTGTACTGCATTTTCGGTAATCAGTGAGAGTTCTGAACCTGGATCAATCAGGACTCTCGCGGTAAACATGTGACCATGGATTGTAGGGATATTCACTACTGCGGTAGCCAGCAGCGCATTAGTTTCAACATGTGTTGAGGCGGTGTGGCTTTTCTTGGTCGGTCTCCTTACGAAACTATCGGTGTGAATTAATGTATGGTGTTGCTTACCACACTTGTTGCATCGAGATTCCACTTGGCATATTCCTTGATGTCTCTTAAGACAATTTCTGCACAGCTGCTTGCTGTTTACGAACTGGAGTCTGCTCTGCGCGCTTGTCTCCTTGAATTTAAAACAGGTGATGAGGGAGTGCTTCCCCGAACAAAACTGACACGCTGATGATGCTGCTGAGTATCTTGTTGACGACTCTGTGGAGAGTGTTTGCGGCATACACAACTCCAATGATTGGAATCGTTTTTTTAAAAACGATAGTACATCCTCTAAATCTTGGATTTCGTACGGATTTAGCAGCGATTGTTCGAAAGTTTTATTAGTTTCTTGATCCCATTTTCTTGTGATGATTCGTCCAATTATCGGACCCCAGGAATCAATATTTATATGCATATTTTTGAGCACTTCCAAGCACTCTTTAGTCGTGTCATGCAATTCTTTCAGCATTTTCACTGATTCTTGCGTGCAAGATGGCTGATCTAGCAACCTATCTAAAATCTGACCGAGTAGTAACCGTCGGTTATCGTACCGATCTTCAAGAATTTTCCACGCGGTTTCATAATTGCTATCGGTCACAGCAATTTGATTTATTAGCTTCAGCGCTTCACCGCGAAGACTTGCCTTGAGATACTGTAGTTTCTCTACCTTCGAATAGGCTTGATTGTGCACCATTCGTTTAAACACGTCTTGGAATTCCGACCATTCCTTGAATCCTCCCTCAAATGGAACGATTGACAGTTAAGGGGGTGGCAATGGTGGACGAGTTGATGCTGCTGGTGCACTCTTTACTGCTGGTGTCTGCAACGATGCCAGAAACGAGGTGATGATTCTCCGACTTGTCTCGAAGCGATCATTGTCAGCTTGATTTGGATCTACTTCGCCGTAGATCCGGTATTGGAGACTCCGTGCTGACCATTCCAGGATATTCCATCTATCAGAATTGGACGTTAAATGATTCCGGACTTTTTCGCCTTGTCGAGAAACTACGCTGCCAGCAATCTCTTCCTCGGTATATTTGAGGGTAGATGTTCCTTTGTCTTACAGTGGATGCTGTGCGATTGTTGCTGGAGTGAATGGGGTCTACCGTGGACTTGTCCAATGCGGTTTCATACTCCATATGTTTATTGGTCATTTGGCAACATTGTTTGATTTGAAGTAGTTATGTAATTTTTAGATGTTGTTGAATGGGAAACTAGTGAATCATCACGTTACTCCTCGTTTCTGGCCATAATTCTTTTTTAATTTGAAACTGTACAGCCGTTATTTGTGCTCATACGTTTTGCGGCTGTAGCCTCAGATGCGGTAATTTAATCTGTTCTTGCCTTTTGTAGCAAAAGAATTTGCGAAGCTTCCATGATAGTCAGTGCTTCTTTGGAAGTGCGCTTGGAAGTTACGGTCTTCTGTCTTTTTGTAATGCTGCCCGGGTGCAATTGCAGTTCTTTTACCAATCAAAAGAACTTGCTACTCGATCACAAGTCGCAACTGGACGGATTCGCGAGGTACCACGGGTCGTAAAGAAGCCGGGTGCCTATGTACGCTTTTCTGGTGGAGCTTATATAAAGTAAGAAACAACTATAATCAAACCTTAGTTTCCTGAATTTCGTCATTATCCGGTTCGGAAGGACCAGTAGCCAAACCAGCGTGCGCTCTGAAGATGGCGCCGGGTTCAAAGCTGAGAGCAGAAGGACTGATGTGTGGATTTTTACGCTGGTTGTAAGGCGGCCGGAGAGTCTTAGAGGTGCTCCGGAGGGTGGGGCGTCGCCCTCGATGCTTGCTCGGTAACTACTAATTTTATTCTTTCAACATCTCTAAATTGGTGTAAAACTAGCCGCGTACATACTTTTACAGGGCAGTGACCCTTCGTGATTTGTAATCTTAAGATAGCTTAATTACTATACAGCAGCGATATATATATAATTGTTAGCACAAGGGGTCAGCGTATGACGTGGTAGTTGCTCATCTGCGAATGTGTTTACTATCTACTGTATTTCACAACATTAAGAGTGTTGATATACATATTATGATGTTAGTCTTGTGATTACTAATTGTATTTATTGTCTAAGTTCGCGGCGACGCACTATCGGCATAAATAACACACCACACAGAATTCCTAAGAGTTGGAAAACTTCTGTCGCTTATCTGTTTGCGGGTGCTGGAAACAACATTGCGTTGAAAGTCGTAATCAAAGGTTGTTATTGTTCATTGCTTTGATTTTTTAAATTACCTTTGAAAACACAATCAAAAAAATATAAATAATCTTTTATATGCTACGTATTTGGCTCCTTATCAGCAAATACTTGCTTGAAAAAGAGTGTTCGACAAAATATTCATCTCAAATTTATTGGTTTACGAATTTTTTAAATTTGAAATTTTGCGAAAACGTGGATATTTGCATTTAGAAAAATACATATACCTACACTCGATGCATTACACAATTCCTTGTCATCTTCATCTTTTTTTTTTTTCACATCTACTTCGAGCACACGGCTCGTCAAAATATTATTCCACTTTGCAATTTCGATGAATAGGCGAAGACTGAGACAGCCGACAACGGAGTGCAGGTGCGAGTGAGAACAGGGGGCTGCGGTAGAGCAGTTTCACCCGCGCCAAGGAAGGCAGCGCATGCGTATAACATGTTACGAAAGCTATCGGCACCCTCAAGCTGCTCGAAAAATTGAGGCGACCCGAACCCTCCAAAAGACCTCCGTTGGCCACTCAGAATTGCAATTTGCGTTCGTTCGACACTATAGCACTTCGGGTGCTGCTCAGAATAGCACCAATAGTAGTATACAGAGACAGAGATAATAAGCACAGTGCTTTGAGCTTTGATTAATTTCATTCTGTAATTGTTAAATACTCAAAAATATATAAAAAATGTCAAATCTCAAAAGTTATCGCTCTTGTTTTGTACCATTATGTACAAATACAACAAAGACAACTCCTGAAAAAATGTTTTTAAATGTTCCTCAAGACGAGAAACGTCGAAAAAAATGGTTTCAAGCAGTGCTCCGAGATAATCCTAAAACAAAATCGAATTTTTTTTGTTGTGAAGATCACTTTGATGTAAGTATTTCGTAATCATATTGTTATTAATTATTTTTTATGTAAGTGTTCAAAGTAAATAACTAGAAAGAGTTCAGTCAATTTAGTTTTTTGACTGGGCTTCAAATCATAACCTTTAAAATCACAGCTTTAAAAAATTTTGTACTGATTATTTAAACTGCTTAAATAATAAATTCATAAATCGTTATCTGATAATTACGATTCACTTTAATATTTTTATATTTTATATCTTTTTTTTATGTAAATTATTATGTATAATTGCCGAGCGGCGTTAAATAAACAAATAAACAAATAAATATTATAACGTTTTAGGTTATGCATTGAACTATATTAATATTTATAAAGTAAATTTTATGGTTTTGTTTCCTTATTATAAAAACATTTAAATAATTCTTATGATTTGTTCTATTTCCAGCTAAAGGATGATATGGAAAATTATATGTATTACACAACAATGGGAGGTAAAGCCAAGATTAAAATTGATGTGGTACCACACAAGTTCGAATGTCAACCTAATCGTAAACGACAAGGGACTTCAATGATTCTTAGACCAGCTGCAGAAAAAAGACGGAGACAACAAATAATTCAAGAAATTTTAAGTGAATCTTCGGACAAAATGGAAATTGGTAATCCTCAAGAACCAAACTTTGATGCTGTATCAGTCAACGCTGTTGAACATGTTGAAGTTGATTCTGCTCCTTTAAATGTAATATCCCATCAAAAAGTCAGTGTTGAACCACACACACAAACCGATTTTAACAGTCGTACTGTTGCTGTTCAAGTGAATAGACGTCCTAAATATCGTAGCGTGTCAGTTCAATGTAAACTTTTATCAATCGGAGTAGATAAATCCTGCTCACCAATTAAAACTGGTAGCATCAGTACTGCAACATCTCCAATATGTCAGAAATTAACTTCAAAATTACTTGAAGATGCTCAGAAAAGCTTGTCATCTAGTAGTTTTACAGCACATTCGAATAGTTCTCAAGAGATTTATAAACCTTCAGAAAATACCGGCTCGAGTACTATGGATTCTAGCTTACAGTCTCCTGTAAAAAAAGCTGAAATCCTAAAAGTTACAAATTACTTAATTAATGACAATTTAAAAGCCTACTGGAGCCACTGGAGGGACACTGGAATGTGATGTTAGAACGTCTTAGTGTCATATCTAATATCAATATTACCAATATAAAATTATCTTTGATGAAAATACGACGCCAAGATAGCTTTGAAAGATTGAGTGAACAGTTTGGAATGAGTGTCAGCACATTTCTTTAAAAAACTTGTTTACATGCCTGAGCTTAATAACATAAAAAGAATACTACCAATACCATTTAGAACTTCATATAGTCATGTGATAGCTATTATTGATGCATTCGAGATACAAATTGAAAAACCAAGTAATCCAGAGTATCAATCTTTAACTTGGGCAGAGTATAAAAAGTGTAATACTTTAAAGTATTTAATATCTTGTACACCAGATGGTTTTATAAATTTCATATCAAAAGGCTTTGGAGGTGGAATTTCAGATGAATTATTATTTCAAGAAAGCGGATTATTAGAAGAGTTACCCGGAGCTTGTGCTGTCATGGCTGATCGAGGATTCAAAAATATTGTTTCACTTCTTGACGATAAAAATATTGAATTAATTCGACCAGCTTCAGTTAATTCTGGAGTTAAATTATCACAATCTGATGTCTTACAAGGCAAACGAATCGCTGCTCTACGTATTCATATAGAGCGCGTCATCGGAAGAATGAGAGAGTTTGATTTTCTCAAACCTCATGCGGTTGTTAATCATAATATGTTGCCTTTAACAGACTATAATATTGTTATCACTGCCGCAGCACTAGTGAATTTACAGACGCCTATAATTTCAACTTAAATGTAAGAATATTTTCTTTACAAAACAAATGACTAAGAGTATGTTTCATTTAATGTAATATATTTTTTATTAATTGCATTTGTAAACCAACATCAAAATATTATGATTAATAATTAATTAAGACTACTGAATGCTTAAGTTTGTACAGATTTTAATAGTTTTGGAAATATATTTTTGGACCAAAATACTAGACATTTATTAATGAGAGCTTGTGTATGTGCATCATCATATTTCAATTTTTTAACATAAATTTGTTCATTTTCTTCAAAATTTGGATCAGCAACACAAAAGATACCTTCTCTTTTACCCGTCATTAACATCTGTAGTTGCATTTGAGCATTACACTTTAAGCTTATTTTGCCTTTCGGCAAAAAAGTGTCCAATGATTTTTGACTGGAGGGACATTTTATCTCAATAATTGCATTACTAGTAACTCCATCAGGAGATGCTGCGAAGACTGGATGACTAGGTACAAGATAAATCCCTGGACGCGTAATTTGTACTTTCAACTCTTTCTCCAAAACTTCAATTACATCCTTTTCTAGATTTTTTCCTCGTGCCATAGCATTTGTTTCATGAACTTTACTTACACCAATAATTTGTTGAACTAGTGAGCCATTATTAGTTTTACAATGAGCAGCTTCATAAAATTTTGATGCAGTTATACGTCCATAACGAAGTTCATGCCAAAGTGCACATTCACTTTGCTGTTTAGATAGTTGTTCAGCTTCTGCACATACAGCTTCTTTCATTTCAGTCTTAGCGAATTCTAAAAAATTTTAACTTGCGAATCAGCATTTTTATTAAAATCAAAAATAAGTCGATGTAACGATAAACTGTAAGCTTTTTTGGAGTCTATATCAAAATTTAACTGTCCGATTTGAGAGTTAATTTGTTGATTTTGGGCAAATTCAATGACTTCCTGTAAAAATGTATTATTTTCCGGTAAATTGTCAACTGAAGTAGCAGAGGTTTTTCTTGTCAATTTTTCAGCTTCAATATATTTAATTACTGTTCCTATGCCTGATAATCGAGACTTCTTCCAGTAGCAAGCAACTTCTGTAGGTGTCGGATCTTCACTCCTGCTATGGGTCCACATGAGTAATGCTAATGCATGTTTACAACCACCTGTGCATTCAATATAAAAAATGATTATCGTTCATAACCTCAATTCAAGAATTTGAGTTTAATTGGAGTACTAATTACCTGCTGAAGCTGCACAGTCATGGCATTCAATGTCATGAACTTTTCTTAACTTTTCATTAACTGTTAAAGTAACAGAATAAGCTTTACTTCGAACTCGATGTTCTGGACATACACGTCCTTTTACAATACAAATGCCATTTTTACGACGAAGTTGAACATAACCTATAGCTTTGTCGCCGTAACTTTCACGTGATGCTCTAAATTTAATTTAATAGGTAATTATATTCAATAGAAAATTAATATACAATGGTAGGTAGTACGAGAGGGTGAGTATAAGCTGAGTAAAGTTAAGTAAACACTTACTGTACGCTATACCCTCACAATATCGCCAAAAACGATATTTTTACTAAACCATTGCAAGTCAATGCAAGTCAGTCAAGCCAGTAGGTGTGCTGATGAGACCTCTAATGGTCGAAATAGCTATCCACATCAGGCTTGACAAATACTTGCATTGACTTGCAATGGTTTAGTAAAAATATCGTTTTTGGCGATATTGTGAGGGTATAGCGTACAGTAAGTGTTTACTTAACTTTACTCAGAAAATTAATACTTAAATATTGTGATTTATAATATTTTTTAACAGACTTACCTCGATGCCTTGACACCTCGAACTTCGGCAGAATTAAACCGCAGGTCATTTTTTCAAAAATCGGTGATCATAAATATATCAACATCAGGAATGTTATCAGAATTTGCTTTTATATATCCTGTATCACACATAGCTGAATGAAATTAACTGTAACAAATCTTTTTTTACTAGTAAATTTACAATGTTTTTGTCAAGTTACATATAATAGCCGTAAGCGCTGCACTGTAATATAATTGCTTTAACATTATGACGTCACAAGTCATGATTTTTTTAAAATTTATCAATTTTTAATCGTTCATAATTAATTGAAAAAAAATTTTTTTCGTTTTTTACATTGCATATCAATAAAATTAATAATTAAGTTTTAAATACATAAAAAAAATAATTTTTTTCAAATTCCCAATTGTGGACTATGCAAAGCAATTTTAAGACATATTTTAGAGGTCGAAAATAATTCATAAAGTAAAATGGGAAAGATGAGGATTCCCTGAAAAAGAGTCACCACCTGTGCATTCATCTTTCTACGGTGCATCGAATTATAGTAAGCTATGCCTTCTTCCACGTACGGTGCCCTGAATAAAAGTCACTTCTACCGCTACTCTCGTACGGTGCCCTGAATAATATTCACTTCCACTGCTACCCTCGTACAGTGCCCTAAATGGGAGTCACTTCTACCGCTACACTCGTACGGTGCCCTAAATAAGAGTCACTTGTACCGTCACCCTCGTATGGTACCTTGAAACTTTAAAGAATTGGAAAATTGTAGAATATATACAGCGACATAAGCGGTTTAAAACAAAATGACAAAATTAATTAATTAAGCCGACATTAAGACAAAAATTATGATGTAATAATGTATACAAATTTTCTAGTTCATCGAGATATCACAGAAAGTACTAAAACAGAAGAAACACGTGAGTTAGAAGTCGCACTAAGCTGCACACTTATTAAGTCTATTCCGTCGAATGCGACAATACAGCGCTATTGCGCGACTGGCTAAAGAGTCTGTCTCATGTTTTACTGGTACCCTTCTTTTTTTGCGCCCAGTCTCGCACAAATAGTTAGCATGAACTGAACGTTTGCGGACCTGGTTAAAAACGGGGAAGAGAAGAAAAGATAGAATAATAGAATGAGCTGCAACGCCAACTTCTTTTAGGGGTATCGAAGTTCCGTGTGCTTGCAGGAAAAATAAACAAACTCGGCATGCGTCCGAATTTATTCCAGACTGCAACAGAAAAAAAATCAGTCAGTCGATGTTGAAACACCAAACATTCGCGAAGCTCATGCAATACTGATCAGCACGTGTTTTAAATCCGAGTAACCTGTGCTTATCAGAAACAAAAACAGCCTCCGTTAATTTGTTAATAATCATTTAAATCTTCTGATACTAATTTTACTTAATTAGATCAGTGATCAAATACAAATTGAGTTGAAGCAATAAAACGATCCACAAGTGTAAAAATGGATGGCTATTTACCCAACGCCTGCGAATATTGCGGCAAAATATTTGATAACATTCGTAATTTAGTGTTGCACATCGAGGCTCTTCATATAGGTTTGAATAAATCATTAAAAAATTTTTAATGTTAACTATTATTTTGTGTTTGGATAGAATTCGATGTTGATGAGGATAATCTAAAAAAAGAATTGAATGACGACGACGCTCAGGAGGACTGGCCCACGAAAGGTATTCCCTTGAGCTTAATTTTACCATATGGCACTCCCGATGAACACGCAGAAGTCCGACAACAAGAAGTAGAAAATCTGTTGATGGCGGAACAAAAACAACTCTTAGATGCTGCTTCTGCGGTGTATCAAAGTTGTTCGTCGCAGGCATTGACAACGTCAAATAAAAAGTTTGCCTGCCCCGTACCCGGGTGCAATAAAAGCTACAAAAACCAAAACGGGATGAAGTACCATGTGATTAACTTTCACGAAATCAATCGCGAGTAAGAAATTCACCCTTCTTCTTATTTTGATATTTTCATACTGTTTACTTTTTGGATCGCAGCTTAATTAAGACTGTCAAACCAAAAAAAGAATTTAAATGCGTCTACTGTAAGAAACAGTATAAGACTTCAAGGGGCTTGCAGACTCATGTGTTAGGGCATGAACAGCAACTAGGCATAGCTGGGCCATCATCATTGATGGTGCGGCACCAACAAGTGCATTATTCGACTGTAGACTCATCTTCTGACGATACTAGTGATGGAGTATTCTATTTAGGGAATCTTTTCCAAGTGATGTCGCCTTCGGCTTCTACTTCTACTAATAGACATGAAGCTGAGCCAACTCGCAGAAATCCATATCTAAACTATGATGATTCTGATAACTCACAACTGATACTGGAACAACAGCAAAGAAATTTGGCAACTTTAAGTTTACTTCGTCAAATGGCAAGGGAGAGATCTCCAGACACTCAGGGACCATCACGTCATGAAGAAAATTCTGAAGACTAGTATTACCATCGAGAGTTTTCTTAATTTTTGTTTTACATGCGTTTATTTCAAATAAGAAATATTATGATTATTTTCAATTGTCGACTCGATGACATTAAATAGAGAGCTCAAAGTAAAAAAGAAACTCTTTAATGAGTATCATTTCCATGCTATAAAAACGGACACTACATATCCAAAACATTGAAATATTCTTGCTTCAAAAATATTTACTGAATATAAGATTAATAAGTAGGGCGGCCGAGAATACGTGCAACACGAGTTCTTTTGTTTAGTTATTACAATGTCCAATTGTAATTGTGGATTGAGGTACATGCAGTTTTCCCAAGTACGCTTAGAAGCATAACAATGGTCTTGTTATTCTTGATTCACTTCCATGATCATCATTGCGTCTTTTTATTTGCAGGTATAGCTGATCATTTGTTATTCTTGCGATTGTCAGTCATAAACTGCGATTTTCGCGGTCTCATCGTCACGGACATGTCACGAACCTAGTGAACTAGTGAAATAATTTCAAGCGGACTAAATTGTAAACACCGTGTTTACTTAGCATACAATTTAGATTTTAAATTGTTGCATAGTACATAAACACGGTAAGTATTTGTTTGCTCCGGAATTTTATGGAAAGTAATGTTTTAATCTGCGTGTCGTCTTTAAGCTGTCATGTTGACGCGGTTTCGTGTTGGTGAAGAAAGCAAAACTGGTAAAAGTCTAATTGGATAATTTTTTCATGCTAGTGTGACCAAGGACAATCAACAATTAGAACCACAAAAATTGCAAATGTTAACTTTCCATGAAAACGTGCAAAACTCGTATTCATTCATACTTTGCCCCAAAAAATAATGGTTTTATTAGATATAATTTGATGATATAGCTGAAATTGAATTCTTTTTGTGCTTTATATGATTAACAAAAAACTGAATTTTAACAAACCGTTAATCGAGATGCAAGCAAGATCACCGATTGCGCTTGAAAACTGTATTTCCTCGTTCATAAATCTTTGCATTCGCGGGGCCGCGGCGAAGTGCATCAAGTGCACCGTGTGGTTACTGTTATTTAAATATTTTTCTCGTTACATATCTGCCGCTGCATCTGAACGTGTGCCTAATAAACTGCAATCGCGCGTGCCGCCTCGAACTTTAAAAATCGCTCATCACAATTTACGATTTAACAATTTCGCGAGCTCGCACGATTGCTATTGCCGATCAGCAATAAATTAACTGTAATATCTATAGAAGCTTGTTCAAGTTCATTTAGAAACAAGATTTATATTTGTCATTGCAGATCTTGATCATTTTATAATTGTGAGGATTTTATATTTAACTTGCGCAATGTAGATTAAACGAAAGCTTTTAATTAGTATTTATTACTAACATAAAAATTAACAGGCAGTCCAATTAAAACGATTAAAAACTTAGGAAGATTAAGTGTTGATTTTAGTTGGTGTTAACTTTTGTCGTAATAGAATTTCGTTAACTGTTTTTGATTATTTCTTAAGAGACGTTGAGAGTTTACTGTACGTCCCGATTACATTGTTGATGCTGAACACAGCACAACGCATCACTGACCGATTTATCTCTGAGTGACAGCTTGTAATTTGTAATTTATGAACGCTGCGGTTCGAAAGCATGTTTAATTTTGTGGGAGTTTTCCAGCAATTCGCATCCCATCGCAATTCCGGTGTCGATCATTAGTACAAATCCGAATCGCCGTGAACTACTTACGAACCCAAACAAAAATGAATATAAGAATGCAAAAAAGCTAAACAACTCACAAATGCACTAGCTGTAAGCTACCATTGTCGACTTCTACAGTTAAAAATGCAAAAAATACGCTGAATGTTGATAAAACATTACAGATTAATTTTTTCGTAAACTTCAAATTGTTTTTGTCGAGTTAGAACCTATGTCAACAATTTTTTGGTTACTCTTTTGTTCTAATCTATTACGATTGTTTTTCCTCGACGTTTTGTTTTACTGCGCGCCAGAAGGAAAGTTTTATCTTCTCGGAACAATCTGTAGCCTGCCAGGTACAAATCGAATGCATTCGTAGTGAACTACTTGTTCAACAAAACGATTCGCGTGCAATTCATGCGTTACGATCAAGATCAACACAATCAGCGTCTTTCTAGTCGGCGAGTTAGTTCTTCAGGCGCTTCGCGCGTCGCTTCCTCTTGTCGGCGTTGAGGATAATCATCCATCGGCGTTAAACGGCGCTTTCTTGTGCGTCGACAATGAGAAAACGGACCGCCGACCGAATAACCAACATGCAAAGTGAAAAAGAAATTAAAAAACTAATTGTTAGAGACGGCCATCAGCAAAACTAAAAAGAAACAATTGAATAAAATGTCAAAAAATGTAAAACTTAAGAGGAGAGTAAGAGAATAAAGCAAATTAGTAAATTTCATTGACGATCTGGCCCGAGACCGCGAGTAATGCGTTTATAATTTTTGCACGTTATTGCTCATGAAGATTCTGGCACGATTCTTGCATTACTCCATTGTTTTGCTTATTCGCGTGGTGACAATGTCACGGTCGATGGTAACAAGCGCAACGAGAGAAAATTTCAAATCGTCATGGTTTAATAGCTATAAAATATTGGTCAAAAAGAAAAGAAAATTTATCAGAAGTGTTTTTGAATTGAAATTGAAACTCTATAATACAACAATAAAGCAATCAGCGTATTTATTTAGCTATAAACATCAATGCTGCCTTTCTTAATAATTTTATCTCTCTTGTTTCTCGTCGTGTTTTTGTTTTGCCCACCTCTTCGAAAACGGAAGCATGAAAAGAGTAAAAGCGTTCACGTAGCGTTTGCATCTTTTGGTAGGGGGCACGTTGTACTACATTGTGGCCGTGTACTTGGCATAAATTCGTGACGCGTGCGGTGATCGTCTTCAGTTATTATCGAGCTTCTTCTCGGGCCACAATGTCCGGTGCAACGAGTGTGTCGTTGCTAACAATCGCGTTCGCGATTCTCTTAGGTGTTCAAAATACGCGCAATGTGCATGCATTCACAACGCGCTCATATGATTTGGACGTGCCAGGATCGAAACCGATCAGGATTATCGAGGCCGACCCTGGTTGGGACCTGAACACAAGAAAGCCGCCTACGCTTCATCGCAACGACCGAGTTCGAAGTGATCGCGTCACACAAGGTTTGGACGATATTAAAAACAATTATAAACCTTTCACACATCGAGGAGATAAGGACGATAGATTTAAACATCGACCAGATTTCGAACACCGCACTCTAAAACCCGATGTGATTTCCAATCGAAATGATAGATTTCCTACTGGATTAGACGAGGAAGATAACTCGGAAAAATTGAAAAAGTTCCTAAATTCTTACGCGCAGAATGTTAAGAAGGTCAATGTGCAAGTTGACAATTCCAATGTCCAAGAAAATGACGACCAGTTGCATTTAAGCGATAAATATGTTGATATACCTTCAGAAGAACACGCCGTAGATGAAAACCGAGGTAAACCAGAAAAGTCAAAGTCTTGGAACTTGCTACATTTTGATAAGATTCAACAAAGACCCCAAGATAACAAAGGGTGGGTTTCAATGGATGCGGTACCTTGGTCAGTAAGTAAGATATCTAAGTGGCATGGCAAACCCAAAAAAGACAAATATCAGAACCAGCAACAAAATAATCATGGATATTACGACCAATCCAATCGTCCTTACAATGATAGATTCCAAGTCGGATCACAGGAAGAGTTCCCACGCCCGAATTACCCCAAACCAATCAGGCCAAACGGGGTCATCGGTGGTCATCGTCCCAACGGATATTACGACGATCCATTAGAAGAAGGTGACATTGAAGATCCGGTTGATGATGATTACTATAACAACAGAAGACCTAGTTTTCCACGACCGAGTGCTACCTATGGACACAAAGTAAATCTGCACACGGTACAATCCTACGGACACTCCGGAAATGGCAACAAACGTCCATTCAAGGACAACTGTAACAACAACCAACACCACCATCACAACCCTGGTCATAGCTCTTTTGGTAATGTCCCCGATGATGGTATTATAACAGATGGTCTACCTGCAAACTTCCCGGAACACGATTATGGAAATCGACGTCGCGGGGTCGGAGGAGATTCCTCTGCGTCGGGTACAATTTCTACGTCGGCCACACATCCATTTAAAGGAGAGGGTGAGTGGGTGTTGTTATCTACCACTAAGGGTTACAAATACCCAAAAAACCCACGCCAGCGTTCGCTCCGATTCTCCGACTCGGTGTCGGACGGCGGCGACAACTCCTTGCAAACGATGAATACTCATAAATCCGTGCGTCTTACAGTACTACCACCGCTGGATGACGGCCGTATCAACATGACTACCAGCCACGGGGGCCTATTACAAGTGGATGGGACTTTCGAGTCTGTAGAAGAGGCACAGAAGCAACACGCCAAGAGACAAAGATTGAAGTTACGCCCGCAGAGAAGACCAGTGAAAGTACGGCCACAACTTGGAGAGTTAGAACCATATAGGACCAAAAAAACACAAGCGTTGAGGCAGCCAGTGTCAAGCCAGTATCAAATTCAAAATGGAGATAATATTGTATCGGAGTCTGTTCAGAGTAGCTCAGTGTCCGATTCCAGCGCGGTGTTGGCCGCGGTAGGAGCTGGAATGATTCCAGCTGGGATGGCTCTGTTGGTACCAATGGCCATGAGCGGAAAGAGGAAACGGCGACAAGTCGAAATACCTGAGTATCTGACTACCAGTCCTTATACTAACAGCGTCGAATTGACGTTACCATCGACCTTGTAATAAGATCCTATTTATTATTTAGAAACAAATTAGATTGGAATAGCTTTATGTAACTACTTAAATATTAACATATTGTTTATTGTAAGTTTTAGAAGAATGTGACATGAAAATCAGAATGGCTGTACAAAGTGTGTACAAGAGGACGGACACTTTTTGTAATGCACTGATGTTTTTATTTATTTGTGACTAGTAAGGCTTTGTAATAAAACGAAAATAAATCTGATAATACAAACATTCAATATCATTTATTTTGGAATCATATTCATTTTTAAATAAGTGAATTTGAACATTCACTCATTTGACCAACAAAATATCAAATACTTTATTCAATTAATTATTGTGTTGCGGTAACACAAATTCGCGTTTTCATCAATTTTCAATTCGGTTTTCATGTGAATTAGTTATGAACTGGCATTGAAACAGATGGCTTAGCCACTGCTTTTCCTTTGCGCCACAGTGATGTGATAGTTTTAGTTTGTGTGTAGAAATTGAGCCCCTGTTTACCGTAGAAATGCAAATCTCCCAAGAAACTACCCCTTGATCCTGTGAAACTGAACATGGGCAACGGAACTGGGATGGGTACGTTGACACCGACCTGGCCGACATCGATTTCGTTTACAAATTGCCGCGCGTGACTACCATTGCTAGTAAAGATCGCGGTACCGTTTCCGTAAGGATTGGCATTAATCATTTCAATTGCTTGCTCTAATGTATCGGCAGTCATAACCGACAGCACTGGGCCAAAGATCTCCTCTTTATAGCAGTCTTGGTTGACTTGAACGTCTGTGAGAATGGTAGGTCCGACAAAGTTGCCGTTAGGATAGCCAGGGACTTTAATATTGCGACCGTCCAAGGGACATTTGGCACCTTGTTTAATACCAGCCTCAATCAATTGATGAATTCTTTCTTTAGCTTGTGGGGTGATTACTGGGCCCACATCAGTTCCAGGTTCGTGCCCAGCGTTTACTTTGAGTTGGGAAGCACGCGCAATCAGGTCAGGAAGCCAGTTCTTAGCCTCTCCCACTAAGATGGCAACGCTTAAAGCCATGCAACGTTGACCAGCAGCGCCAAAACCAGCACCCACAAGTTGTTCAATAGTAGCTTCTTTGTTGGCATCGGGCAAGATAACGGCATGGTTCTTAGCACCCAAGTTAGACTGTACTCTTTTACCGTTAGCTGCTCCGCGTTCGTAGATGTACTTTCCAGCGCGGTCAGACCCGACAAAACTGATTGCCTTGATGTCTTTATTGTCACAGATAAAGTTTACAGAGTCGTGTGTACCGTGAATGACGTTAACAACGCCAGGAGGAGCGCCAACTTCCTGAAGCAATTCCATGATCATCATGGTCGCACCAGGGTCGCGTTCAGAGGGTTTAACAACCATGGTGTTACCGGCAATCAACGCCATTGGAAACATCCATAATGGAATCATGGCCGGGAAGTTAAACGGGCAAATACCAGCTGTCACACCAAGTGGTAGTTTGTAAGACACAATATCCATATCTTTGGCAATGTTTTGGAGGGATTCACCTTGGAGGAGGGTACCAGCAGCGCATGCATGTTCAACCACCTCTACAAATTATGAAATCTCATCACCTAGAGTCATTTTTTACAAAATTTTCATTGAAACACTCACGTAATCCTCTGAGAACATCTCCCTCGGCATCAGCCAAGGTCTTGCCTTGTTCTGTGGTGATATTTGCTGCCAACTTCTTCATATCTCTACGAATCACAGCCTGCAGCTTCAACATGAGTTGCTGACGGGACAAGACCGAAGTCTGTCTCCAGGATTTATACGCTTCCTTTGCGGACTCGACCGCAGAGTCCATTTCAGCCTTTGTGGACAAAGGGACTTTGGTAACAACCTCGTTGGTGGCCGGATTGTGCAGATCCACCCATTCCGTAGCCTTGGAATCTTTAAATTCGCCATTGATGAAGAGTTTCGTTGTTGGTGCGACATTCGAGGAATATTTACGAAGAACATTGGCAAGCTGCGTTGCCTAGAAAGTACAATTTTTTTTTTGTAAACCACCAATTTAGCATTAAGTGATTATGAATTAGCCTTGGAAAATGATGTGAGATGTTCCATGTATTTGCAGTGTTATGTAACTCAAACACAACTTCACATTCGTGATAAGATAAGACTCGCGAGTAATAATCAGCTGATGTTTACGTTTCAAGGATGGTGTATTGTAGAGTTAATAATCTTTATTTGCAAACGTTTAAACGGGTCACAGCGTGAAATTGACTCTTGGCATTGAATTACAAGCAAAATTGTTTTTTTAAGTTAATTTTCAGGTAATTTCAGTATAATTACTAGTAAACTTTTCGCATTGTTTATCATCACTTTTTATAATAATCCAAGTCGTGACCAGTGAATACTTTCATTACTTTCGCTAGTTAAATATCGCTTAGGAGTGTTTTGTGTAGATAAAAACTTTTTTGAAATTACGCAAAAACATGCGTAATGAGTTTGTTTTGCCTTCGATAATAATCTGCAAAAACCGCACGCTCAAGTTCAAAGCTTTGCAGTTTGCGTAATCGTTGAACGAATATCATCAATTTAATCAATATTTATGCAATTGCATTAATAAATAACCAGATATCAAATGATGTAATAAGAATGTTTGCGAATATCTATGACGCGGTGCATTTTCAGGACAAAATCGTATGAAGTTGTATTCAAATTGGAGACAGATTTTTTTTTGAAGAAATTGATCGAAAAACTGACACGGTCCCACGATAAAACCTAAGTTGTGCACCGAGAAAATCCACACACACACACAACATATGAAACGAAGAACTGTAGTAAACAGGTTTAGTTTAAAAGAATGAGTTAAAGTTCACCAGTCCATGCATTGTAATTCATTGAACGGGATCATTGAATATAATAGCCAATATATTCCAGTCATACAGAGTGTTCTGAACCTCTACTTTTAAATTCCTTGATAATTCCAGTTTTATATTTCAGAAGACACATTTTTAATCGGTCCCATATTTTTAAATTCAAAATGGCGGCAGATAAAGTTTTTCGCGCATATACTACTGCAATCAGAATAAATCAAGATACTTTGTTCGTATCTTTTAGAGCAGTAGACGAAGTAGTTCCAAGTGTTAAATTCCCGTTTGCCCCGTTGCCTCCAATCATTTGAATTAATTTACATCGAGCGCGTAGCGAGTGTAAGTTGAACACCATCATCGCTATCGACCAAGGTCGGTTGATATTAAAATATCTAACGCCACAACTAGATATTTTCAGAATATGTGTGCGCATTTCAACGCTAGTAAATTTCGAGTTCAAGTGCAATCAGAAGTTTTGTTTTCTCTGCTTGAATTCTATAATTAATGCACTCATACTTTCTTTCTATTAATTCAGAATGTACGTTGCACTGAAGATGTGTAATTAATTTCACTCGAAATGATGTTTTCTACCGCCGCATCCTCAAAGGAAACTGCGAATCGTGCGCGACGGCCGCACGCGTCGCGCGGAAAGTGAAAACGAAGAAAATCACATTTCATGCACGCCGTTTATGTTTGGCCTAATTTATAAATATCGTGCGATGTGCACGATGCACAAACCCACAACAAACTGCTCGGGGCCCACAACAAAACAACACTCGAAAAACAATTTCTTACAATTTACTTCGCTTTTACTTGCGTTTCGTGCGATTTACGCTTGGAAGTAAATTATGCAGTCACACAGTGCTGAATCGCGTGTGTAGTGATAATATATGAAGTGAGAATAACGATAGAATGAAAGTTTACCTGATTTCTAGGTAGCGACAGCATGATGGTTGATTTGATGGCACTGGGTTATTAATTAACGGAAAGGAACGGCAAAAATCTACGACAGTCCGTCGGAACACGCGCGGGTCGACTGTGTGCACGTTTTTTCGATCGCGAAGCCTTGTTTCGTGCTTGAATACATACACGAATACACTTACAGTAGCCCCCACTTGGTATCACATTGTACTTGTACACTAAAGTAATACTTATTACGTTTTATTTGAATATTACTGCCGCGAGCGCGCGCGTTATCGTAAATCGTTCACTGGTTGCAAATTACGTTGACGACAATTCGCAATTCACACGCGCGGTTTATGCGTTCATGTGCATTCTCAAGTTCAAGATGAAAACTAAACACTTCAGCGCACAATAAACTGGCTTATGTATCTCGATGCTCTTGAGATAAGGCAGTTGTGGCGTGACAAGAGATTGATGAATGCCGAAAGCCGGTTGGAGAGTTTAGTTGTTGTCGTCCTTGAAAACCGCGTGGACGCACGGAAACAAGACGAGAATAAAACTTCTATTTACGTTTTAACTTGATAACTTTACTATTTGCGATAGTACGAATAAAATATTCGAAACGCGAAATCAATGTAGGCAACAGTCAAGATTTTTGGTCATAAAATAATCGAATAACACAGTAAAAATTTTATCATTATATGTATAATTTTTGTAATAATATAATTAACATATAACAGGTCACTTTTAAATAAAATTTCGTTTGCTGATTACAATTCTGCGCTTGTTTTTAAAATGTAAACCAAAATTACCGATCCTTTTTACTGAGATTTTGAGTATGCGTTTGATTTAATAATTGATTTATTAAAATAATAATACAAAGTTAAAACTTTAAAACTTACGCTAAAAACGTTCAATAAGAATATGTTTTTAATATTCTATATGTATAATAATATAATTAACAATAAAAATGTTTGGTGTCTCATTAAATAGATAAAAATCTCCTAATAATTAATAATATTCAAATAACTAATTATCATCTTATCAATTTTCCTCATACGAATATCTACTTGTATATATCATATTGTGTATCATGTCGTGATTAATACAGATATTTATATTGTAATCATAAGATACGGTCGTGTTGCACGAATTTTGATTCATATAAAAAGTTCGTATTGTTTTAAGTATTTTGCATTCGTTAAGTGATGTTTTTGATATATATTCATAAGATACAGTCGCAATTTGATATCGATAAGTATAGGCGATTTAATAATACAATTTACGTTTCGCAGAATGTACATAAAACAAAATTTCAACGAAAATATGTAAATATTTACAGGTATAAATTGAAAATGGGCGAGCGTGATCGCTGTCAGCAAATATAAAAACCTACTACAAATCTGAGTTTACATACGCTGTACAAATCAAATTCGCAATGTTTGCAAAGTTTTTGATATTTAACTAGCAATAAATAACATCTTCTTGCATTATTGTTACAGTTAGCATTAAGAAATTAAACTTTGGATTGCGAAATGTGTGAAAAAATTATGTGGTAACTCTAAAAACGAGTCTTAAATATAAGTTACGTGGTTAAATTAAAAATTACATGTAATAGCTTAGTAATACTTTTGGAATTCATCGATTCGATCAACCTGCACCTGGTCAGAGCAATTTAGCTTGTCTGGTCGCACGAAAGAATCGACGTGATATAATACTTAAAATTTGAATATGTACAAAATTACAAATACATACTGCCTGTAACCGTTAAATATTAAAAGATGAGGCTTCTGTTTAGAGATTTCTTAGTCATGTTCGAATTTGCGCCCAACAGTTCCTAAATGAAAGAGTATCATGCATTTTGTTGCAAAGTAATGAAGATGTGCATGATCATTGGCTTTGGACATTCTTGAAAAACCACTCAGTGAATTTCCGCAGTTGTTGGATGGCGGCATGGGCTTGATCCTGCAACTTCCGGTTTTCGTCCTTGAGACGCCTCACCTCCTCCTCGAGCGACAATCTACGCCTGATTTCATGCGTGAAACGGGACTCCAGATCATTGTCGTGACTGCGCAGCTCGGGAACGCTGGAACTGGTTGTAATACTGTGTAATAATGAGCGAAAAATACTGTGTTAGCGATTATGTCAAATGTCGGTGAAGCGAAGAGAATGTTAGTAGCGTAGAAAAGCGATGCGGAGTTATTGTTCGCCTGGCGAGTACAAAACTTACTTCGAATTGATGGAAACATCCTGAGCCCCGTTGTCGCTCCAACGATGTCTTTCGTCCTTACCGCCTTCCGTGGTTCCCACGACTCGATTAGCGGTATCCACGAGGCTATTCCAGTCCATATCCTGTGGCAACAGGATGGTTTCTGGTCCAACTGAGCCTACGGTTAATTTTTTGCTAGGACTCGTCACTCGAGGGGAAAGTCTATCCATTGTATTGCTCTTGAACTCTCCTGAGAGTGGACTGGAGGTGGTGCTGGAGTTGGAAATGACTGTTGCTGGGCGGGCTGTGGTAAAAATCACTTCCGGGCCCTTGTGAACAGACAAAGGGGCGTTATTTAAATTTTCGCGACTTCGACTCTTGCTCTCCTTCTTGGATGTGACCGTATTTCCAGTTACCCCGTTTCTCTCCCTCGGATGATGGTCATTCCGATCTTCACCATTTTCAATATTGTCAGGACTGATCAATCTTATCAGTTCTTCTTGTAAATTGTTAGAAATATTAGCGCTGTTACGATTTGCTGTGCGGGAAGTTACACCCGGACGGAGTTTGGCTTCACCGTTGACCGACCTGGGAGATTGATTCCTACTAGACGACATAGACATGCTTCCCAGATGTTTTGCCCTTCGCGTACCACGGGGTGAGACATTTCCGCTGCCATTAGAAAGCTCCTCCTCACTTCCGACCCCGTACAGGCGGTCACTGATAGAGCTATCTGTGGAATGACCATCGCCATTGCCAACGTGGCCAATTTGAGTGATGGTGGTGTAATCGGATCGGATGTTCGGACGCGTTACAATGTATTCGTCATTCTCTGCGACTCTTTCGCCGCGTTGACGTTCGTTGTGTTGCTTTAGGAGATTGTTTTTATCAAACTTGTAGCTCTCGTAGTCCGTGTTACTGTGCAACGCTGCCGATAGCGGTTGAGTATAATTCACATGCTGTAATGGCAGTGAATGACTGGCATGCACTTTGTTGTGTTGCACATGCGGAAAGTGATTGTGCGATTGGGACAATTGCAAATTAGACCCCTGATTAGAGACTGAACCCTTAGGAGCGACATGAGTGCCATTCTGCCCATTGTTGCGTTTGGACGGCGTTGGGAAAGTGTTCAAGGTTTTGTACACCGACTTATCTTCCTCAATCCATCGCTCCTCGTCCATGGGATTTGCGGCATCATTGGGATACCTAGATTCCCCGCCTAAAAAAGACTTTTTGCTGTTTCCAGTACCATAGCCACTGCTATTACTTGATCGCGGAGGGGAAAAACTTCTATCGTACACTTTGACATTACCAGGTACGGCCTGTTGCCTCTGTGGCGCTTTGCGTGTCTTCTGCTCTTCGGGATTCTCATAATCCGCTTCGTAGTTGCCTTCGGTGTACTTACAATTCGGTAAGGTACATCCCTTACGAGGTTGGGTGTCGCTGATCGGCGGTATCACAGTTAAAGTTACCGTCTGAGAAGTCTTCAACAAATCGACCATCTGGTCATACGTCAGTGTTGAGACAGCTACTTTGCAAATTTCAACTAGTCGGGAGAACTTTTGCAAACCGGCAATCGCTGCTGGGCCTGAACTTTCAACGAGAGTGACAATACCATCAGGTTGAACATGAAAACCCAATTGTTTCATAATGTTTCGATTGAGACTCAACTTTTCGACTTTCACGCCCTGAGTTACCGCTTTAAGACGATCTATTACTTCCATCAACTCATCGCGTTCAACATTGGTATCGCGCATGTAAAAGGTAAGGCATTCACCTTGATGATGGTAGATCCTTAAATAGTCAGAACCGTGCGACCAGCCAAGAATTGATTTGCACGGCGCGACAAAAACGATTTGGCGTGAAAGTTCCTCAATTAGAACAAGAGTGTCCGCAGAAATACCCAGAAAACATTCGATGCGCTGAGATTGACCCGAATCTTCCAAAAGAACCTGCCACAAAATTGCGCCGCGTTGGGAGATGTCAGGGATAAATCTAAGACGAATCTTTTCTTTTTTCTTGCTGAACAAATCTGCGGAAAAACATGACATTTTAAGACAGCGCTAAAATAAGCTTTCGGTATACTTACTAAATTTACCACCGCCCATATCAACTGGAGTAGTTGTAGCATGATTCGCAACCAAATCCTTAATGTACTCCTGTCGAGTACGCGTCGCCATTGTTACAAACTTCTCCGACCGATGTGCAGCATTCTCCGCGTTTACGACCTTTGCCAACAAGAACTCGGCGAAAGCTTTGCCTTTTGGATAAACTGCACCCTCCTTAATGGGCGGACCAAAAGGTTCCAAATCTTTGGATCGACTCACGGCGACGCTGTACAGTGTATTCTCCGTGCACGGATTAATCGCTCTAACAATAATAAACACATGTTGGAAATTCGAGCGGATTCCCCTGGGTGTAAACGGCAAAGCGCCTGGTTCCTGGAAAATAATCGTCACAATATCGTTGCCAATATGACGTTTGCGCAGCAGTTGTTGCCGATTGCTTTTCGTAAATGGTAGCATCGTCGACACGTGGAACATGATCTCGCACTCCTTGTACTGAGAGTAAATTGAGTACAAACCAGTAGAGTCAGCTATAGATTAAAACACAAATGAGTACTTGAATTTAAATATTGCGTATAAGAACTCACTTTTATAGTCGAGCCCAGCTTTGTAGTTCTCAAAACCTTTCAGTCGCACCTTTTTACCAATCGTCTCCAAAAACTCAGTGAAAGCAGGATCAGCTTCTTCGTTATTATACATCTCTTCCTCGCTTGATTGCCCCGCTTTGCAATACATAATACCAACTTTATAGTTGTTTGTCAAGCCCTGTTCATCAAGTTTAACCAACTGATCCTCCACAACAGGCGATTGAGTGCCCAAACGAAGACAGCTAAGTTGAATTTCGGGCGCTACGTATTCTAGAACTTCTTTGGTGTTGATGTGAGATTTGTTGCTGCTCGATGCTTTGATGTTTGGAATGGCGTCTTCCAAAATGGCGCCGCGCAGCGTCAGCAACTCAGATGTGCGGATTACCAAACGATATTGATACTGAATCATCAACGCTTGATTCTCAGGCTGGGGAATTTTTTCGCGACGAATTGATATCGCCACCGGGCCGAGTTGTTCATCAATCCCAAACCAATTTTGATGTTCTGTAAACAAACTTATATAACTCCCACAATGACTTAATATAAGTAATTTACCTTGATCCTTAAAGTGTTTCCTGTAGTAGTGAGCACCCTGATCAACATTCTCGATCGGCCTTTGTAATCTTTGATACGGACAAGTCGAATGCCTCCAGTGAGTCTCCCCAATTCCGTATTCAAGAACAGCCACACCATAAGCCAAATAGGGACGATGCAGGACCCTATTTTTAGTGTGTTGCATCCGCGTCAAACACACCACACGTTCCTCCTCACCACCAACTTCATTCCGGAAGAATGGACAACTCGCAACCAAATCGTTACCTTGCCCATCACCATAATCCTCATCATTCGAATCCCCATCCGGCGTAGATGACCTAATCAACATGGATGCCGCCGATGCACCAGTCGTAGTATTTCTGCGTTTCGCCAATAAATTCCTTCTAATACGCACGGCGTACCCCAAATGAGTCGTCAAAGATTGACAGTCATAATGAGCGAAAGCTCGACGTCTAGCAATCTCTTCCGCTTCAGCAGACACCACAACACTGGTACTGCTATTGCTATTCACAACGCTGTCATCCATCGCGGCCGCCATTACGTTCCGTTGACTTTTTACCGAGTTGTTATTCACACTACCACTACCCCAGAGACGGGACAACTTCATGCGCAGCTTTGGACTCTGTGGTGTTTGATTATCGTCGATGCAGTGGTTGGACTGGTGGCTGGAGTGTGACACACCGTCAGAGGCGTCTACTTTCCCGCGAAGATATTCATTCGGTCCCGGCGAGCGTTGATCCGTACAAATTGAACCCAAAACCTGGCGAAACCAATCAATGAAAACCCAACACATCACAACAGTGCAGCAGCAAAAAGGCTATACATTAACAACAGCTTCGGTAAGCTGACTTAAAACCGGCATGATGATTAACACGCATCGTACGTGGTTGACGGTTTACACTCAACTGAGCTTATAAGCGCGACTGGGACGCCGGAATTCCTGAGTGAGTACGCATCGAATAGAATCGTCGATTTTGCGCACACTGATAGCACTTATCGCTATCGCATTTATCGCATTGTTTCACACTGATAAGACCGAATGAACTCGTCAAAATCTCTCAATCAAAATGATTGCATTGTTACTCACCGTTGGTCTGTAGTCCTGCAACATGGCAAAGAAAGACTCGCTGGTGGTACCCGCCGACCCAGGACCAGGACGATCAATCACGTCAATGGATCCGTGACTACCGTACTCCCTTTTGAGTGTAGCCCCGGCCGAAGATGGCGATCGGTTGTTCGAGGGGCGCGCCGCGTGTAAATCCACAAGTTCTAAACTGGAATTACTGCGGTAGAGCAGGTCAGGGTTTAGGTGATGCAGTTGCTGGCGGCCGCTGCCACTACCCGAACGCTGCTGGTGATGTCGATCGTTGAACGAAGCACGAGGGGCGGCTAGACCTGCGTTTACACGAGCTTTCTGCAGGTGGGTATTGTAATATTCCACTGCCTGTGCGGCCCTCTCACGAGATCGCGAGCCCGGCGCTCGTGGGGGCGCCGTGGACCCGTTTTCTTGCAGCCCGATCATCCCATCACGCTAAAAATAAATGAAAGACTCACTTTAATACATTTCATTGACTTCTGCTTATAGAAATAGAAATGTATCATTAAATTATGTTTTGGTAACACAAAATTCATTCATGTGTAGGTAGTCTAGTCATCATTTGTTCACCCACTTGCTATTGTTACTAAATAGCAAAATACTGTTTTGTTCATTGCTAAATATCGTTTTGTAGGTTTTCAAAGCTCCATTCACAATTAGCGAATGCTAATTTTGCGAGAATTCACATTATGTCTTGCCAAATGTGCAAATATAATTTGTTTACATTGATCCAGCATAAATCATCGACGCAAATAGCAAAATTATTATTCAAATAAACTTTGATTAGTAACACTTCTTCATTTCCTGTCTCAATTTCGTTTTCTCTCAATAGAACCAACCTTTCTAGTTATTTTTTTACACAGACAACATAAAATTTTCATTGTTTTATTTTATGTTGTTTCGTTTAATTGTATAGCAGAACATGATTGTCTATTTGATTTCTTCGCGCTCCCGATTTGTGTTCTCCGTGTCTTTGCAATTCGTCACACAATTTCTTCAGTAATTCCCCGAGAGAAACTGCTTTAATTGTGACTGTTGTTCATGCTCCGTGTGTCATTGTCGCGGCGCGGTCTACTTTTTATTGTTCGCTTTTATTGTTAATTTCTTTCCAGTGGAACATATGTCACACTGTAAAAGTACAACTACAACTACAAGAAACCGATAGAAATCTATTTCTCAACGCAGTATGAGTAATGGCGTGGAAATTTCAATAATATCATCAAACAAAAGATAATAAACATTGAAAACAAACAAAAAACACTTGAGAATTATACTACTATTTTTTTATTTATAAAAATTATATCGAAAGTTGTACTTTTTTTCTGTTCTGTAACTTCCTTTACTAAAGAAAAACTTCAATTTACGATCCAACATTCTTTACCCAAGTGTTGTGTTACTTTTGTTGTGTCATTGGCGTACTCTTATTACTCTTACTCTCGGCTTGTCGCCGGTCGGTGGTTTTGTCTACCTGTCGACAGGATGTAAACCAAGAACACTCAGATCTCCAGCAGGAGGAAATTGTGGCATTTATAAGCACATCAGAAATCTCCGACGAATTCTTGCGTCGCAAAACGCAGCGGAACACAACCGAACGGAAGAACAACAACAACAACGCAAAAGTAACAAATTACACGAGTATTTTGGTCTGGTAACTTAATAAGCACACAAAAATCACGCAAACAACAAAAAATAACACGAAACTTCCTGTTACCAAACTTTTTTTGCGTTTTAATGAGAGAAAAATATTTAAAACTCTTGAATTTTTAATGAAATCAACGTGGAAATCGAAAACGATGTTTGCACGCCATGATTTATTTCTTTTTTCGTGTGCTTTAAATGTCTAAACGTGCGTTGCATGTTAATTAAAAGATGCAAGACCAGCACGGATTTAATTAAGCGTTAAATATTTCTAAAATACGCGCGTGCTGTAATTAATTAGAAAGCAGACGCGAACAAATCGCCTTAAAACGTTTCAAAAAGTTTCAAAAGTATTACTCTTGCTCGAATTAATTGCACACAAGAATGGAATTTGAGCAGAACAAACAAATGTATGGCTAATTGCTTCAGATTTACAAATAATTAACATCTCATTTAAAATGTAAATATTCATTTGAGCTAAAATTAAATATGTATGACTTTCCGATGTACGTAAATAGAAAATTAATCATAGCTTTACAAAAATCATTAGTTTATTAACACGCAACAACAATAACACTCATGTAATTGATATTTATTGGTGCGGTCCAAAAATCGGGCCGGAAAAAGTGATTTGGGTTATGTTTTGATGACTGTTATTAAAGTAATAACTTGATAAAAGAATGTTTCACTGAATGTAATTATATTTTGTTATTTGTAATTTGATTTGTGGTATTCCATTGGTTTACCGATGTGGTTTTGCGTTGTCTTCTTTCGAAAAAACCACAAACGATACGAACAAAAATAAAAGGGAAAAATGCAGACAAAACAAAAACATATCAAATATCATAATCACATGATAACGAAAATATGTTTTTATTTTATTTTGTGTAGAAATTTTTATTTACAGTGTTTATTTTTAGAAAGTTTTCCTTTAAATGAATTTCTACTCCATTTAATTAATATTTACATATTGAATGAGTGAAAACGTAAAGTTTAAATATTTAAACAAGCCGAGTGTGAAACTTCGATATAAATTTATGGCTTATGACTAATATAATTATAATTGCCAATTAATCGACTAATTTCATACGGAGATATTTATTTATTTACTTATTTATAAATCGCATAGAGGCAGGTTTGATTTAAACACATATTTACTCATCAAGATAAAAAAATGCACACAAGTAGACACTTTGCAAAAAATGTTTACTGATAAGTTTAACACTTACCTATTTAATCTAATCTCAAAATATGAAATCACATTAGCAGCTTTTAAATTTTAATTGCTTGACGTAGGTGTATCGTGAAAATAATATTTTTGAACATTTATTTAATGCACATTCCACGTTTTCATGTCGGTGACGTCCGTGAGGCGTTGTTTCGCGTTGGGCGTATAACACGGGTCAAATAATAACGAGCACAATTGAACTTCAGATGCTTGTTACGGCGAATTTGAGGCGAATTGCCACATCGCCGAGCATGTGAGTCATTTAATAACTTTGTGGGTTTCTCAGAGCACACAAAACTCATTCCTTGCAATTACAAAATTTTTCTTTCTGATTACGTTTTATGACATAACAAAAATAGAAAAAAAATATGTTTCAAGTGCAAATTGTCTTGTTTTACGATGAGCTGATAAATTTAGAACGTGCAATAAACAAATAACGTTTACACAACGCAAATGACGAAGCAATTTCAAATATTTATGAATGAATAATTCGCGTTCATGAAATGAAAAATACATAAATATCACGTACGCACGCTGGTAAATTTCCATTCATTTCCCGTTAGTTAATATTTAAATATTTATAATTAAACTACAAAAATGAGCGAAAAACAAATTTTGCTTGTTTTGAATTACATTTGAATACTGTGGCTCTCTGCAGACGAGTTTTAATGAAAACAAAATGTGAAAATGTCGCCGACGCACCGATGACTAAAAATAACAAACGCGGATAATTTTTATTCTCGTAATCCGATTATTGCACAAAACCGTCGCCGAGCTCACGTTTTGCGACCGGCGAAAGTTTACGTAACACTTTTTAACGTGTAACTTGGCATGTTGACTTTCAACACACAAAAATCAAACAAAAAAAACATAGAATTTGCAAGTGCTGAAAAATTCTGCACATGTGTGCTAATAGGTCATTCTCACAACGTCCACAAACACTTGCAACATCAAGCATACTCAATAATTTCCATAGTTGGGAATTAAACGTGGAAATGTCATTGTCATATTATGACATTTTCAATTTTTACTAATTAAAACTTGTGTAATGAAATTTTTCTTTGTAAAATTTAGTTTTGTTTTATATTTACGTCTTTTATTATTTAGGGATAATAGGATGCTAGATGCAAAGTGATATTTATACACCAGCAGTGTTACGTTGTCGGCTGGCCAAAAAGTAAACTCGTAGATGTAGAGAATCCGCAGCATAACGAACGACTCCGCGGCGTGTTGTAAATTTCACTTTGTTTGCATTTCCACTTTCCGCTTGGCCTTTTTGTGTGCCTTGGGTGATTCGTTTTCACGATGGGGCGTTGCTGCGCTTGGCACTTTGGCCACTTTTGGCACTTCCAGCTCGGTAATCATTCTAATTCCAACTTGAAATTTATTTCTACATAAAAACTTCGTAAAAACCCAGAAAAAAATGAACAGATATTAAAAACCATCGCTTGAAAGTTTTTTAATTTCAATATAAAGTTTGAATATTGATATTCTTGCTATGATATTAAATATCCCGGTAGTTTTCTATGTCAGTGTCAACTGTGACTATTTGCAAACAGCTTCAATTCTCCAGCAGCCGCCTGCGAATGTCGCCTGTCAACTTTTTGCGCTTTTTGCTAATTCCGCTCCAACTTTACTGCGATGTCATAGCGGAGCGTATCCATTTCGGCTCTACTCTAAAGCAAAGTGAAGCCGTGCAGCCGCTGGTGACGGTGGAGTCACTTGCAACCGGCAGATATTTGCATTATGATATTAGTCAGATATCTAGACAGCCGGCGTAGACCGTGGAGACCAACTTAAACCAAATAAAACAAACGTCGAGTGTATGCAAACGCAAAGTGCATGAGTAAGTTAAGTGCGGTAATAGACTACTACTGCGCAAAAGCCACCGAATTACACATTGAAGTAAAAACAAAAATGAGTAATTGAGTTAAAAAATTTAAACATTTTAAATGTTTTAAATTTAATATTGCATGTTCAAGTTCATTGCCAATTCATAAATAAGGTACGAGTAAAAACAACTTGAAACGTGCTCCTTGACTTTGGTCTCTCCTCCTGACCTCTCTTTCTAGAGATTCAAGTGATTCAACATGAAGTGCTTTCGTATTTTGCTGGCATGTGAATTTGCGAAGAAGTTCCACCTAGATGTGAGTTGATATTGATGACTCACTGCTATGTAATTCGCCTTGACGTGAAATTATTGACAAAAATATTGCGCAATAGTGTGAATTTTCAATGATTGGATGATTGCTTGTTGATTTCATTATTACGATTGTGTTGCGCACGTGCTCGTTGTTCATTTCGAGTGCAATTGTTGGAATTGTCCGAGGCACGCACCACACAGTATGCGTTTTGAAAAACAGCACAAAATGCGCCGGAAACGCTTGTGTGTAACCCGACCGGACGGAAGTTTTGCGTACTCATGCGTATCTCCCGCCTACACAGGACCCACTAATGTCCGAAACGCTATAAAACAACCCAAATACAAATCATCACAGAGATGCATCATAAAATATATAAATGTTATTTTTTGTTCTCTTTGACTTTGTTTTTAATGAGATATCGATTG